GGGAGCTAGGAGGAGGAGGAGGAAAGGAGGAGCGGAGGAGGAGGAGGAGGAGGATTGAGGAAAGGGGGATGAGGGGAGGAGGAGGACGCTGGCGAAAGGGAGGCGCGGAGGGTTAAGGGACGGGAGGAGGATAGAGGAGGACGGAGGACTAGGGGAGTATATGAGATTACGAAGGGAAGGCGGGCGAGAGGAGGAGGACGAGGGAGGAGCGGAGGGTTAGGAGGACGAGGAGGATGAGGAGGAGGAGGACGATGGAGGAGTAGGATGATGACGAGAGGAGGAGGGCGAGAGGAGGAGGCGAGGAGGAGGAGGAGGAGGAGGAGGAGGAGGAGGATAGAAGGAGGGAGGAGGAGGAGACGCCGCCCGCGCGCGTGCGGCTTACTGGCCGCGCGGGGGCGCGCCCGCCCTTTTCCCTTTGCTTCGCGGCTCGGGATCGCCATCGAAAAAACAGATCAAGACATGTTTTTCGATGGCGACCCCGAGCCATGGGGCAGTCTCCTCTCGGAGGACCCCTCGGGGATGTCGGGGATCCTCCTCGACATCCCCGAGGGGTGGGACGGGCTCGGCAGCCATCGGCCCGTCGCACGTCGTCGTCCCCCAACCCTCTGGGTTGTGGACGACGGCAACGTGCGGTGGGCCGCTCTGGCTGCCGAGCGGCGCGCGGGGCCCCCCCCGCCGCCCGCGCCAGCGGCAATGCCGCTGGAGATGGCGGCGCAGAGCGCGGCGCAGGCGAACTTCGCCTGCGCCGCGCTCAGCCGCGCCAGGCTGCCGCTCGACGCGGCGGCCCTGCAGGGCCGCCGCGTCGAGCGGCCGTCTTGGGCTGAGGCGCGCCCGTCGCCGCCTCCGCCGCCGCCTCCCCCTTTCCTCCTCCTCCTCATCCTCCTCCCCGTCCTCCTCCTACTCCTCCTCCTCCTCGACATCTCCTCCTCCTTCTCCTCCTCCTCCTCCTCCTTCTCCTCCTCCTCCTCTCTCCCCCTCCTCTCCTCCTCCTCCTCCTCCTCCTCCTCCTCTTCCTCCTCCTCCTTCTCCTTCTCAGAGTCCGCTAACCACTTAGTAAGTCCGCTAACCACTTAGTAAGTAAGCTAGCTAGCGGACTTACTATGTGGTTACTAAGTGGTTAGTAAGTGGTTACTGGGTGGTTACTAAGTGGCAGCTAAGTGGTTACTAAGTGGTTAGTAAGTGGTAGCTAGAGTGGGGACTTAGCGAGCTAACCTCTACTAGAGACTTAGCAAGGTTAGCCTCCAGCTATAAGTGGTTAGTATCTCCTACTAACCAGTTGTAGCTGGTTATACAACTTACATCATACTTACAACACTTATAACCTACTTACAACTCACTTGTACGTACATACTAAACCCTCTAACCCCTTAGTATCCGCGCTAACCACCTAGCAGCCGCCGCGGCCATCCAAGCACTCCTGGGCACCCGGGCACCCCCGGGCACCCCCGGGCACCTGGGCACCCGGCCCCGGCCACCGAAATCGGCCACACACCTGGGCACCCGGGCACCCCCGGGCACCCCCGGGCACCCGGGCACCCGGCCCCGGCCACCGAAATCGGCCGCCCACTTCACCTCAGCTTTATATCCGCTAGGACCCCTACAGAGGCAAGCTCTGCTTGGGGAATCGTCTGGGGGTGACTTTTTGTTTATTTGTTTAAGCTATTGTTGAGTATCTGTTTGACCGTTTTTTGGTTTTCGCCTAAAAGCAGCCTGTAGGGAGGCAGGAGCCCGACTCAACGCTATCATTATCCACAAGAAGAATATTGGAGAATGGTAAAAAAATACTCTGGTGGCGACTTTTCGTGATCTTTGGACTTCTTTGGGATATTTTGGGGCTATGTTTCATTTTTCTTCGAAGATCCGCTGCAGGAGGACATGCCCGACCTAAGGCGATCGGTCCCAGACATCTGGCGCCTGGGAGAAAAATATGTGTCGGCCACGCACAGAAGGGGGCAGGGGGAGGGGCAAGGCTTCTCAGAAGCACCCTGCTTCTCAGAAGAAGGTGCGGGCCTTGTCTGTAGATGATGGGCTGGCGCCTTTGTGCGCGCCGCCAATTCGTAAGGCTACTCAAGGCAGTTTTAAAGGCTAGCAATGGCCGCCAAACGCCACAAAAGGCCGCTCAAAAGCTATCAGAAGGGCCACCGAAGGCCGCCAATGATAGACTGAAGACCGCTAAGGTCCACTAGAGGTCAGTACGGCTACTGAACTGAGGCGGTGTATGTCAGAATGAATTAGACTAACCAAAAAATCGATACGTCAGTTTGCTCCCATGTTTGTCTCTTGTAGCCCTGAGCGGGTCCTGGGACCGTCAAGAACGGTTCGGGATGAAAGCCTGGTTCCAGAGACGTGGTCGAAAGTTCGGGGGCCCGTGTCTCGAACAAATCGAGATGCTGGATGTTTGGGATTCCAGCCGGCCCGATCCGATTCGATTCCTGTATTCCGACGACTCGATGCGGCCCGATGCTGGCATGGCGCTGTTGTACATCCTGGCGCAGCCCATCCGATGCCGTGCCAGTGCAGCCCGATCCGAGGCATGTCGCGGTTCGTCCCGATTCACCGAGTCGACGCTGACCGAGCCACGATCCTGCGCTGAGGCCCAGTCTTCCAGGCGGACGTGTGAGTAATTGTTGCAGCGAGGCGCGCAGCGGCGCGCCGCCCTCCCTGCCCAGGGGCGGGGGGGGTCCCTGGCCTTGTGGAGGACGATCAATGGAGAGGAAGCAGGTTGCCAAATAATTTCCAGATGCCTAAAAACATGTGTTAAACATGTTTAGACATGTTTAAACAACAATACAGTTTGAAACATGTTTAGGACATTTCCTTACAGTTAAAACACTTTTGAAAATCAATGATAGGACTGTTAGGGTGTCCATTGTCGTGGCAACCACAACCCTGTCCAGATGTTCTCAGTGCCGTGGGCCACAAGGCCACAACCCTGGCCATGTCCGGTGTGTGCTATAAGATTTCTCGGTGCGCGCGTCGCCCCTGGGAGGGTGACGCACACATTGTATTGGTATGTTGGGGTGACGCCCAAAGGTGCCCACTGGGGCCCACGAGGGGGCCTCTTAGGGCCCGAGAATCGCACCCGTGGAGATCTGGATGATCTCCGTCTCCTCCCTCCTCCTCCCACCTCCTCCTCCTCCTCCTCCTCCTCCTCCTCGTCCTCCTCCTCCTCCTCCTCCTCCTCCTCCTCCTCCTCCTCCTCCTCCTCTTCTCTGGTCCGGGGCCGGCCTCGGAGCCGCGGAGCGCCTCGCCCATGGCCCCGCGGGCGGCTTCCTCCGGGGCTGCCCGTGCGCTCCCCCCGCCCTGGGCAGGAGCCGCTCCGCTCCGCCCTGTGCTCCTCTCCTCCTCCTCCTCCTCCTCCTCCTCCTCCTCCTCCTCCTCCCTCTCCTCTTCCTCCTCCTCCCTCCTTCCTCCTCTCTTTTCCTCCTCCTCCTCGACCTTCCTCCTCCTCCTCCTCCTCCTCCTCCTCCCCTCCTCCCCTCCTCCTCATCCTTCTCCTTCTTTTTCTCCTCCTCCTCCTCTCCCTCATCCTCCTCCTCCCTCCTCCTCCTCCCCTCCCTCCTCCTCCTCCTCCTCCTCCTCCTCCTCCTACTCCTCCTCCTCCTCCTCCTCCTCCTCCTCCTCCCTCCTCCTCCTCCTCCCTCCTCCTCTCCTCCTCTCCTCCTCCTCCTCCCTCCTCCTCCTCCTCCTCCTCCTCCTCCTCCTCCTCCCCCCCTCCTCCTATCATGAGGGGGGGGAACATCGCAGAGCGGATTCCTCGGGCCGGTCGAAAGGTGGGGCATTGGGAAAGGGGGGGTTACGAAATCTGCTGGATATGCAGCTGGTTTCGGCCCCTCCGAGGGGCCCATTGCTCGATCCAGAGCCGCCTCGGGCGCGGGGAAGCGCCGGGGAAATCAGCTGCGTGAGCTGATTCTCAAACCCTCCCTTTGCTACCCCCCCCTTTCGCCCGACCCGAAAAGCAATGGGGTGGGCCCAGAGTGTCCTGGGGAATTTCGTTCCAGACTGCGAGGTGAGTCTCGTGCGGATTGTTTTTTTGCCAGGAGTGAAGGCGGCTAAAAACAGTCCACGCGGTCTCGGGGTTCTGCATGGACAGAAATCCACGCGAGAATCCGCTGCAGCACGTCTGCAAGGTCGGTGCAGTGACGCATGCCGGCTGCCGGAGAAACCAGGCCCCCCTCGAGTCATGAACAAACCATGGAGATTTTTCAAGATCAAAGGGAGGGGGCTTCCCCTCGACTCGATTACGACGTGGCTGGCGTTTTCTCTTGCGGACAAGCTTGAGGGGGCAGGGGTGCAGGGACAGGGAACGACGGAGACGACGACTGACGGAGACGACGACTCGAGCAGACAAGCCCCTCACACATGCCGACAATGTGGGCGGATTTTTGGCCTCTGCGGGGGCCCTCACGGGGCATCAGGACCGCGAAAAAAACTTCTCGGGGCCCTCACGGGGCATCAGGACCGTGAAAAAACCTTCTCGTGGTGAGAAGCCGGTCCCGGGGAATGGGTCGAGACCTTTGGGGGTCGACGCTGTGACCAAAAATCATGACGTCGGGGGTCGTCGGACGGGGCCCGGACGAGGCCAAATCCGTTCCAGAGCGTCCCGCAGCGCTCGCAGAGAGCGCCCTCTCGCAGCGCTCCGGGGAGCTCCGAGGAGGCCGCGGCGCCCGAGGCATCCCCCAGAGCCACCCGAGAGATTTCAGGAGGAGAAAAAACACACAGACACAATCCATCGTCGAGCTCTCAGAAAACAGGGAAAAAATGGGAAGTGTGGGGGGGGGAGACAAAAAAACCAGAAACTATAGGGAAAGATGGGGCATCTGGCTGTTTGTGTCCGTGTTCCCTGGCGTGTCCCAGCTCCCCTTCCGATCTGTCCTCGCCCGGCTCTGCCCTCTCGCCCTGTGGCCTCGGCCGGCGGCGGTCCTGGGATATCAAGGGGGGCCCGGCTCCCCGCCCGGCGGCGCGCGCTCGGCCCCCGTCGCCGCGCCGGGCGCCGGCAGGAGGTCGCCGCCCTGCACCGCGCGCTGCGGCGCTACGGCACGGCGGGGGCGTCGCCCCCGAGGAGCCCGCGCGCCACGGAGGACGCAGGCGCCTCGCGTCCCTCCCCGCAGCACCGCTCTCGGGCGTGTGCACGGTTCGGAGGGAGGGGAGAAAAAACACAGACACAATTGATCTCTTCGATTCCTCCGAAAATAGGGGAAAATATGGGGAGTGGGGGGGAAGACAGAAGCCCCGAAAATATAGGAAAATGTGGGGGATCGTTTTTTTATGTGTGTGTCTGTCTTTATTTGTGTGTCCCAGGGCCCCTTCAGGCTCGGAGGGAGGAGGAGCGGCACCAGCACCACCAGGGGGCCACCTCCGGCGAGGAGGCCCACGGATGCCTCCCCGAGCTGGAGGCCAGGGATGTCTCAAGCGGGAGGGGGGGAGGACACCACCTACGTAGGGAGACCCCGCCTGCTCCTCGCATCTCCCCGCCCTGTTGGTGTTGGTGTCGCCTTTCGTTCTTCCACGTGTGACCAGCCTCGAACGTATCCCTTCCCCATCCCTAAGATTGACACGCCAAAAGGCGATGACAGTCTTAGGGGCTCGCCCTCAACGATTAAGGGAATCCCTGAGACTGGCATCGTGATGAGGAGGTGCCCAGCAGAGGGATAGGGATATGTTCCAGGCTGGTAAACATGGTGTCCCTCGGCGAGGACCTGGACCGGCGAGCAGACGGAAGCACGCGCGAGGCCAAGGGATGCACGGGGAGTGGGCGTCCGAGCGATGGGTCGAGCTCCGCGGCCCCGCCTCGGTGCTGCTCGCGGGAGGCGGGAGGCAGAGGCCGCCAGAGGCCGAAGCGCCGTGTCTCGGGCCGGACGAAAGGGGGGGATAGGGAAAGGGGGGGTTACGAAATTTGTTGCATGCAGCTGGTTTCGGCCCCTCCGAGGGGCCCATTCCTCGATACATGGGCGCCTCCGGCGCCGGGAGGCGCCGGGAAAATCAGCTACGTGAGCTGATTCTCAAACCCCCCCTTTGCTAATCCCCCCCTTCGCTCGACCCGAGTATCAGGAAGGGGTCATCAGGTTTGGCGTTGCTCTCGTCGAGGAGGACAAAGCGCCGTTAAACACGCACTGTTGGCGCTCCGCGCGGATTTCTTGGATCCGCGCTGGGCCCTCCCGGCGGCGCCTCCGGCGCCTCCCTTGGCGCGCTCCGCGCGCCAAGGAGGGGGTCCAGCACAGATCCAAGAACTCCGCGCGGAGCGCCACAATTGTATGGTTTATGTATATGCCGTTTTGTCGTCTTCTCTACTCGTATATATATATATATATATATATATATATATTGTGCTTATTCTTATTAGTAGCCTCATTGTTAGCACTAGTCGTATTATTATTTGTATTGTTCTTCTTCAAATTCTCAATCTTCCTATGCTTATTCGTGTTATTGTTTATTTCAAGAGGAAGTGGTCATCAGGTTTAGCGTTGCCCTCGGCCTTCCGAGGCCCTGGCGACCGCCAGAGAAGGCTCGGGGAGAAGAACCCGTTCCGGGGAGCACCGGGAGCCGTGCCCCTCGGGGCCCCGCCAGCTCGCGGCAGGGCAGATGCTCCGGGGCAACGGAAGGGGGGAGAGGCTCAGAGGGGGACGCATCGACCCCCAATCGCTCAGTGATCGTCGCCGATATCCAGACATCAGGCGTCTCGAAGAAATCGAGACGGAGGTTTTGTCTTAGGTTTTGGCCTCTGAGGGCCTTCGCCGGGCCTCGAAACCGTCCAAAGACGACCCAGGATGACAAACCGGTCCCCGGGAAGTGGTCGGGACGTCGGGGGCCATTGTCGAAAAAACCGAAACGTCGGATGTTGGGGTAGCGGCCTGATAGCCCACCCTGGCCAGGACCGTGCGGATTCGCTAGCGGAGGCCTATCGCCGATGTGTCGGCGAGGTTCCGCCGCTGCACGGTCGAGGATTCCTCCCCTGAGCTGGTCCCCCCTGACGTTGCCCCTCACGGGAGAGGAGGAGCGATGAGTGGGTTCTGGGGGGGCTCTGAGCGGCTCTTGGGGGTTCGGAGGGGGCATCTCGGAGTAGGAGAGGGAGGCGAGCGAGCAAGCCAAGGGTGCGTCCGACGAGCGAACACGCCCCAGCACAGAACGAGGAAAGCCTGGGGGGGGGGGGGGGAGGGTCTGGCACGGGGCCTATGTAGAGCGGGTGCCTCCCAGGAAGACCACTGCTCCAGAGGACCTGGGCTAGGAAAGCGAAATGAGAGCAAAGGGGCGTAAAGGACGGAGGAGGAGGAGGAGGTAAGGATGAAGGAGGAGGAGGCGGAAGATTAGGGCAGTAGGATGGAGGAGGGGGAGGAGATGAAGAGGAGGGAGGAGGGAAAGGAGGGGAGGCGGGGGAGGGCAGGTCGGGAGGAGGGAGGATGAGGAGGAGTAGGAGGAGGAGGATGAGAGGAGGGGAAGGAGGAGGAGGTGACTCGCTTACTCCAGCGCGGGGGGCGCGGGGCTCACCCATCCCGCAAAAGCCCATGGGGGCTAACAAAACTGTGAGAGAGAGGGGGGGGGCGAGGAGGAGCGAGGAGGAGGGAGGAGGGCAGAGGATGGGGGGCGAGGAGGAACGACGAGGCGGGAGGGCTTTGAGGAGGGATGGGGGGATGGGGGAGGTCTTTAGCACCGCTGCGGGCGATATGTCAAAGGAGGAAGAGGTACCCATATTATCGCTGCCTTTCCCTCGCTTTCCTCGTTTTGTTGGCCTCCTCGGAGGCCCTCGTCGCCTGCGCTGGATTCGTCTCGAAATTCTGGTCAGAACGCGCCCCAGGAGAGGTCCAGGGAGTAAAGGTATGGCTAACCCTTGGTTTCCTCAATATGGAGGCGAGGGCTCAACCTACACCGCGGGGACCAGCGGCTGTGCGAGTTGTCTGGCAGCAGGCGGCGGTGCAGTGGCAGCATGGGCCATGACCTGGAGCGCGCGGCATCCTGGTGCGGCTCGTGCGCGTGTGTACTTCCGCGGGGGAGTGCGCCCTTCGGGACGCGAGCGACACAGCAGCGAAGCAGAGCGAGGGAGGGACCAGGGAGGCTGTTGAAGTGTACCGGGGGCCCCCATGCCTGCCGGACCGCACCCCCTGGCCTCACGCGGAGGCGCGTCGTACGACAAGAACGAGGTCTGGGTGGCGCTGAACACGCTGGGGCCTCGCGCGCGCGGGCGTCCGCCGCGCCCCGCCGACCGCCGGCCACGGCCGCGGCCGGCGAGGGGCGCGCGCCTGGTCTGTCTGGCACTCCCCCAGCAGTTCGTCCCGCCTGCCGCACCTCGTCCCCTCCTTCGCATGCTCCTCCTTCTGCTCCTCCTGCTCCTCCTCCGCCTCCTCTTCTCCTCCATCATCATCATCATCATCATCATCATCATCATCATCATCATCATCAGCAGCAGCAGCAGCAGCAGCAGCAGCAGCATCAGCATCCGCATCAGCATCAGCATCAGCAGCATCAGCATCAGCATCAGCATCATCATCAGCAGCATCATCATCAGCAGCATCAGCATCATCATCATCATCATCATCATCATCATCATCAGCAACAGCATCCTGATGATCATCAGCATCAGCATCAGCATCTTCTTCATCATCATCATCATCATCATCATCATTCTCATAATCCTCCTTATCATCACCATTATCATCACCACCACCACCATCGTCATCAGCATCATCACTATCATCAATATCATCATCATCATCACTACCATCGTCATAAGCACCATCATCAGCATCATAATCATTAGCAGCCACATCATCATCATCATCATCGTCATCATCATCATCATCATCATCATCATAATCATCATCATCATCACCATTATCATCATCCTTATCGTTGTCATCATCGTCATCATCATTATCATCACCCCCCAACTCCTCCCATCCTTCTCCTCCCATTCTCATCTTCCTCCTACTCCTCCTCCTATTCCTTCTCCTCCTCCCCTTCTCGTCACCCTCCTCCTTCGCCTCTTCCACGTCCTTCTGACGCCTGACGCTACTCGTACGTGGATCCACAAAGGATGCTGTCAGCCCCCTCCCCCCCCCCCTCATCCGCCTCCTCCTTCCCCTGCGAGTGGAGTGTCGAGGCAGACGAGGAGCGGGTAGCGATCGAGGGAGCCTCCGGAAGGTGCCCGGGGTCCCAGGAGGCCGTCAGTGACCAAGGGCGCTCTCGATAGCGCGAAGTTATTGGCGTTTCGCGGTTCGGCTCCGATTCCTCCTCATCCTCCTCTTCTCCTCGGGGGGGGAGGCGACGCCAGAGCGCGAAGTGATTCGCGCTTCGCGCAGCGCGCAGCACGAAGTTACGTGCCCTTGGGGACCTCTGGAGGCCCAGGGCATGGCCAGGAACGCAGCGGGAGCAGATGGGACTGGAGTCCGGCAGGTTCGCGTCGTGTCGATCAGCGGCGATCCTGCCGCAGGCGGTCAATGTTGAACGCCGCCGGCGACCCAGAATCGGCCGATAGCGAACGATCTGACGTTTCGGAAGCGGTCGATCTTTCGAGGTTGAAGGATCCCTTCTCGGCGTCAGGAACCAACACAAAAGTCGGCACGACACGAACCTGCCGTAGATGGAGCGGAAGGTCTCGCCGCATTGTCGACGCATCGGCGATGCGGCTCGACGTGGAGCTCGATTTTTTCTCCACTCCAACGGCGCCGATGCATCGCGGGCGTCGCAGATGCGGCGCAGTTTTCCTACCCCATTCCTTCAGACCCCGTCCGGGAGGCCTTCCAGGTGTGGCCAGGGGAGTGGGTGTCGTGGCCGGGCGCCTGGATCTCATGGCCCCCTCTTCTCATTTCGATGCGTGTTCTGGCCTGAAGTCGGGTCAGCCCCTCTACAGGAGGCATATTCAGGAATAGTCCATGAATAGTCTGGGGGCGATTTCTCGACTGTTCTTGACTATTTCTGATTTTTTCCCATATCCTAAGATGGGGTTCTTGTTTTCCCGATGTCCCGAGGATGGGTTCTTGTTATTACTCCGACCGCGCCGCGCTGTGGTATGTGATGATAAGGTACGGTATGGGATGGCATGGTGTGGTATGGTATGTTATGTTACGCTATGTCATTTTATGAGTTCGTATGCTATGTTATGTTAGGGCTATGCTGTGTTATGGTATGTTATGGTATGGTTCGTTATGTTATGCTATGTCTAGCATGATGGTGGTGCTGATCATGATCATGATGTCGATGATGCTGGGGGAGCAAGTTCTGAGGATGTCTCGAGCGAGGCGCGGGTTTCAGCACCCCCAAGGGGGGGCCGCCAGGGGATATTGCATTCCTCCGTGCGGGGATGTCTCGATCGGTTTGCTTGTTTCCTGGCTCAACATCCTCCGCTTTCGGAGCAGATTTGGAGGATGTCTCGAGCGAGGCGCTCATGCTCGCCCCCAAGGGGGGCCAGATTTTGAGGATGTCTCGATCGGTTTGCTTGTTTTGGTGGCCAGACTCGTCGTGGGCACGGATCCTCCCCATGATGCCACGAGAGGCTCCAGCAGGCTCCAGGAGACCCAGCCCCACGGGGCAACAGGAGGTCCCAGAATGTACCAGGAGGCCCCAAGAGGCCCCGGGAGCAAGCAGGAGGCCTCAGAAGGCCACAGGAGTGGCTTCAATCCAATGTGTTGTACGTATACTCCTATATATTGTGCCTTCCTTGGGGTACGAGTCCTTGGTGTTTTACGCATGTTTCTTTCAATTGTCCTTCTCTTGCGTATCCAATCCTAAGTGTTTTACGTATGTTCCTATAGATTGGGCCTTGTCTGGTGCACGATACTGTGGTGATTTACGCGAGTTTCTACAGATTGCCCTTCTCCTGTGGCTCTAATTCGCAGTGTTGTATGTACGTCTGACTGATGATGATAATGCTGATCATGATGCTGCTGATGATGTTGTTGTTGATGATGATGATGCTGATGATACTGGTGGTGGTGCTGCTGCTAATGATGATGATGATGATGATGATGATGATGATGATGATGATGATGATGATGATGATACGCAGTGTTGTATGTACGTCTGACTGATGATGATAATGCTGAGCATGATGCTGCTAATGATGATGGTGATGATGATGATGATGATGATGATGATGCTGATAATGATGACGATGATGATGATGATGATGATGATGGTGATGATGATGATTCTGATGATGATGATGATGATGGTGGTGGTGGTGATGATGATGATGATGATGATGATGATGATGAGGATGATGATGATGATGATGATGATGATGATGATGATGATGATGATGATGCTGATGATGATGATGATGCTGATGATGATGATGATGATGATGATGATGATGATGATGATGATGATGATGATGATGATGATATGGAGCAAATTCTGGGGATGTCTCGAGGGAGGCGCAGGTTTCAGCACCCCGAAGGGGGAGCCGCCAGGGGTATTGCATTCCTGCATTCGCGCCAGAATTGCTGGGATGTCTCGAGCGGTTTGCCTGTTTCCTGGCTCGACATCCTCCGCTTTCGGAGCAGACTTGGAGGATGTCTCGAGCGAGGCGCTCATTTTCGCCACCAAGAGGGGCTAGATTTTGAGGATGTCAAAATCGGTTTGCCTGTCTTGGTGGCCAGACTCGTGGGCACGAATCCTCCCCAGGATGGCACAGGAGGCTCCAGCAGGCTCCAGGAGGCCCCAGGAGGCAACAGGAGGTCCCAGGACCAAGAGGCCACAGGAAGACCCAAGAGGCCACAGTCAGAAGCCGGGCGAAAGCTGGCGAACCCGTTGCTGCTAAGACAGAGCTCCGGGAAATTGTTTTCTTCTTCTGGAAAGCAGCCCGTTGTCCATGTAGTGCGTTGAGCTTAATTCTGGGAATTCTTTAGTTTCTTCCGGGGAGGCCGTTTTAGCAGCCACGGATTTGCCTGCCCTCGCCCAGTTTCCAACACAGGATGCCCCAAGAAGCTCCAGGAGGCGCCAGGAAGCTCCAGGAGGCTGCAGGAAGCTCCAGGATGCTCCAGGAGGCCACAGGTGGCCACAGGAGGCCCAAGGAGGCCACAGGAGGCCCAAGGAGGCCCCAGGAGGCCCCAGTATCATGCGCACAGACTCACTCGTACTACTGAGGCTCAATCACACTCCAATTCATTCATTGTTAGACTCACTCAAAGTCAATCGATATTCAGTTTTGTTTATATCCGAAGTCTCTTGCGCCTAGGCACTCACAGCGGAAAGGTCCATGCTAATAGATGCACATATAGGGGGCTCCGCGCAGTGAATAATTACTTAGACGCCTCCTACTCCTTCTCCTCCTCCTCCTCCTTCTCCTCCTCCTCCTCCTCCGCCTCCTCCTCCTATCCTTTCCTCGTATCCTCCTACTGTGAAGGCCTGACGGCCGGTGCCGCCGACCCCGAAAGACATTGACGACGACCAGGGACCAGGAGGGGGAGGAGGATGAGAAGGAGGAGGAGGAGGAGGAGGAGAAGGAGGAGGAGGAGGAGGAGGAGGCGGAGATATGGAGGAGGAGGAGAAGGAGCAGGAAAAGGACTCCCCACTGGGCCCCCACCCCCTGGGGAGGAGGACCGGAGGAGGACCGGCGTGGGAGAGGGGAAAGGAGGGGGAGGAGGACCTCCAGGGACGGATGCGTATCTGACTCCCCTACCCCCCTTGGGACCCCTCTCCACCTGGGGAGGAGGACCCGAGGAGGACTGGCGTGCCGGAGAAGGACCAGCGTGCCCCAGTGGCGACGCGAATCTGACACCCCCCCCCCGGGACCAGCCCCCCCGTTGGGGAAGGGACAAAGGGAAGGGGGTTCCCTTTGACGTAATGAGGACGTGGATGGAATTCTTTCAAGCTGCGAATCCGTTCCCCGAACGAGGGAGTGTGCTCTAACTCTCTCTCTCTCTCTCTCTCTCTCTCTCCCCCGACAGGAGAGGAGGATGGGAAGGAGGGGACGAAAGAAGGCTCCCCGTCGACGGGGCCGGACAGACACCCCACACACGCCGACAGGGTCGGCGGACTTAGGTTCCCTCACACTCAGAGTTGCTTGTGCCCAGACTGATGATGATGATGATGCTGCTGATGATGCTGATGCTGCTGCTGCTACTGCTGCTGATGATGATGATGATGATGATGATGATGATGATGGTGATGCGGAACAAATTCTGAGGGTGTCTCGAGCGAGGCGCGGGTCTCAGCACTCCCAAGGGGGAGCCGCCAGGGGGTATTGCACTCTTCCGTTCGCGTCAAAATTTAGGGGATGTTTTGAGCGGTTTGCTTGTTTCCTGGCTCAACATCCTCCGCTTCCGGAGCAGATTTGGAGGATGTCTCGAGCGAGGCGTTCATTGTCGCCCCCTAGTGGGGCCAGATTTTGAGGACGTCTCGGTCGGATTGCTTGTTTTGGTGGTTACATTCGAGGATGCCTCGAGCGAGGCGCGGGTTTCCAGCACCCCCAAGGGGGGGGGAGCTGCCAGGGGTATTGAATTTTCCGTTCGCGCCAGAATTGCGGGGATGTCTCATTCGGTTTGCTTGTTTCCTTTCTCAACATCCTTTGCTTTCGAAGCAGATTAGAGATGTTCTGAGCGAGGCGTTCATTTTTGCCCCGGAGTGGGGCCAGATTTTGAGGATGTCTAAATCGGTTTCCCTGTCTTGGTGGCCAGACTCGTGGGCACGAGTCCCCCCCAGGATGGCACAGGAGGCAACAGGAGGTCCCAGGAGGCAACAGGAGGCCACAGGAAAACCAAGAGGCAACATGATGCCCCAAGAGGCGCCAGGAGGCCCCAGGAAGCTCCAGGAGGCCCCAGAAGGCTCCCGGATGCTCCAGGAGGCCACAGGAGGCCACAGGAGGCCCAAGGAGGCCACAGGAAGCGCCACGAGGCACCAGGAGGCCCCAAGAGGCCCCAGGAGCAGGAGGCTTCAAGAGTCCACAGGAGTGGCTTCCGTAGCCATTTTGGCTCAAGCCATTTTGGCTTAAGTGTTTGAGGGTCATGTCACATAAGATCTCGGTGTCTGTGCGGTTGCGACCGTCTCGAGCAGAATCTGGGCCTCCCCTCATTTCAGCGGACCAGCGCGGTGTGGTAGTGCTGAAGAAGGGGGCGGTCGAGACGGACGAGGCGGCCACGACGGAGCACAAGGTGTTCGAGGCAGTCGAGAACGTGGTGACAGGCAGTGATCAGGAGCAGGCCTTTCGGGCGATCGCAGCTCCGCTTCTGGCTCGGCTCCGCGATGGCTACTCCTGCACCCTGCTGGCGTATGGGCAGACGGGATCCGGCAAAACGCACACGATGTTCGGGCCGCCGGGCTGCCTGACGGAGGCGAGCCTCGCCGGGTCGGGAGGCACCACCGCGGCACCAACGGCGTGGGGCATCTTTCCTCGGATCGCGCTGGAGCTCATGCAGAGCGGCGGGGGTGCGCTGTACGCTTCCGCCATCGAGGTGTACCAGGACGCCGCTTACGACCTGCTCGCAGACCGCGCGCCCCTTCAAGTCGGCACAAAGAGCGTTGGCCGTCAGGTCGGCGGAGGCGGCTGTGTCATTCCCGGGCTCGAGGGAGGGAAGGAGGGAGCTTCGGGCACCGCGCATGCTGGTGTGCACCCTGCGCATTGCCAGTGCAGCAAGTGCTTCAAAGCGCAGGAAGCGGAGAAGGCTGCTCGGGAAGCCAAGCGCAACGCCTTGATCAACGGAGGGCGCGAGGTGGTCAAGCGTGGCACGGCCGCCCCGTCGTTGGCCAGTGCGCCTTCGTCCAAGGAGCCCTCCACGTTCGCTACAGTTGGCGAGAAGTTGATACCGCTCACAACTCCAGTGGAAGTGGCTCAGTTAGCGCTCACGATCGAGATCACGCGCACCGCAGTGGGACACGCATTGAACGCTCGCTCTTCGCGATCTCACTGCCTGGTTCATTTGTTCTGCGTGGATCGCCAACAGGGTCAGGTGACTAAGAAACGGCTATTGTTCGTGGATCTTGCAGGGTCCGAACGTATCCTCAAGACCGGGGTGGAGGGCGTGGCGGCCACGCAGGCAATGGCAATCAATGGATCTCTCACCGCGTTGGGCAAGGTGATCAGGGCGCTGGGTGCCAACGCCAAACACGTGCCGTTCCGCGACTCGGTGCTCACGATGCTGTTGCGCAGCTCCTTGGACGGTAATGCCGCCACGTCAGTCGTGATCAACGTGGCCTCTGAGCCGCAGCACTACGAGGAGACGATGCGCTCCTTGGAGTTTGGGGAACGGATGGCGGGTGTGAAGACAGTGGCTACCAAGGTAGTAGGGCAGCGCTGTCTGCACAAAGCCGAGGTCGACACTCTTACGGAGGAGCTCCTGAAACTGCGCTCCGAGATAGCCGAGATGGAGTTGGCGGATTTGGACCTCGGCGATTTTCATCCGGCCGCCGTCCCCTCCGAAGTGAAGTCGTTGAAGCTCAATTTCAGGAAGCATGCTCGACTCGCAGCACGCGCGAAGGAGGCGCGCGCACAGCTCGCCGAGGCGAGGGCCGGCGGGGCCGCCGACGTTCCAGCCTTGGAGGAGGCTGCCGCCCAGAGGGAGCAAGATTTAAGTCGGGCCTGTCTCCCTACAGGGGGATTTCCGACGACAAATTAAAAATGCCCCCAACAAAATTCAAAAAATAGTCCAAAATAGTCTGGGGACTATTTTTTTGTACTCTTTGACCATTTTGGGATCTTTCGGGGGTATTTCATATTTTTTGTTGAAAATCCCCCTGTAGGGGGACACGCCCGACTTAAAACAAGATGCGGCCAAGCAGTTCGACCTCCTCGAGATGCAGAAGACGGCCCCTGCCGTCAGAGGTGGGCCTCCCATCTGGTCTGGGCCCAACAAGGCGTACGTGTCCAAAGCTGCTCGCATGGCGGCGGTTCAGGAGGCACTGAACATGGGTTGAGCAGTCGCAGTTGCGGAAACAGTGTCTGAGAATGTAAGCGAGTGGGCAATGATGAGGCTCCCGTTGAGTTGTGCTTGGGGCCTGCATTCGGCGCGGTTCGAGAGCCGGTGGGACGCTCAGGTACCTTGCACGGTGGAGGGACATCGGCAGGATTGCATAGATTGTCTTCTGCGTCGGTCTTCAAGCTGGACCTTTTTTTCAGATGCTGGGCTGGTGTGGTGGATATTACTGTTCCGTGGCGCCAGTTGGTTGCCAACAGGCCGTCAAGCCAGGAGCCCTTGCCGAGCGCTGGCTCTCCAGACTGTTTTCCTCGCAGTGTGCCGCGGTACGAACTGCTTTTCCTGATTGTGCTGTTTCTTCTTGTTCGTGTCAGAAGTCTGCCGCAGTACGAGGATCTAGGCTGCAAGCTCTACGAAACAGTTGCCCCGCACACTTTTGCAAGCTGTTGGACAAGCTCTTGCCCCCCCCCACCCACAGACACACACACACACTTTTGTCGAATGCATCGTGACTTCATGACTGCCGCATGCCGCCGAGAGGAGAGAAACAAACAGGCCACAGGAGTGGCTCGAATCCCATGTGTTGTAAGTATGCTTTTATAGATTGGGGCCCCACTGGAGCACGAGTCCTTGATGTGTGTTTACGTATGTTTCTATACATTGTCCTTCCCCTGCGCATCCAATCCTAAGAGTCGCATTTGTATTCTTATAGTTTGGGCCTCCCCTGGGGCACGAGTCCTTGGTGTTTTACGCGTGTTCCTATAGATTGCCCTTCTCCTGCGGTTCCAATCCGTAGTGTTTTATGTACGTCTGTTCCTGTAGATTGGGCTTCTCCTGGGGCACGAATCCTCCCCAAGAGGCCCCAGGAGGCCCCAAGAGGCTCCAGGAGGCCCCAAGAAGCCCCAGGAGGTTGCAGGAGGCTCCAGGACGCCCCAGGCTCATGCGCAGAGACGCGCTCGTTTTATTAAGACTCATTCGCCCTCAGAGTCATTCCCAGACCGTCAATATTCAAGCTCGGTTATATTCGAACCTCTTGCGCCTAGACACTCACGGCGGACAGGTCCGTGCTAATAGATGCGCACATGGCGGGCTCCACGCAGTGAATGTTTGTCTTGTTTGCTGTTTTAACTGTTCTTCCAAAATCCGCCTGTAGGAGGACCTGCCCGACCTAACTCTGCCCCACCCCCCCTCGTCCACGCACGCGCCTCGCGCCACGATCTGCGAGCTCCCCTCTTGGACGCGTTCCCCTTCTGGACGCCCCCCGAGCAGCGGACGAAGGGCGGAGCAAAATGTAGACCTTCCGCCGTCCAAGGCGGCTGGCAAGTGCACGTGTGACCCGACGCGCCACCGTGCAGCCAAGACGCTGAAGCAAGGACCAGTCCCAGACCCCCTCAGCAAGGAAACAATCACGACGTGAGGGTTTTCGCTGTTTTTGGCTTCCAGGCGCCCTTACCGGGCCTTGGGACCGTCAACAAAAAGACTCAGGACGAGAAACCGGCCCCGGGGAATGCGTCGAGACCTCTGGGGGTCGACGATATGAAAAAATCATGACGTCGGGGGTCTGGGGTTGGGGCTGGGGAGATCACCAGGGGAGAAAGAACCACTACCACCAGCTAGGGGGCCAACCGCTCCCCCTGCCCGAGCTGGTGGCACCCCGTCCCGGGCGCGCCCCCAGAGAGTGCCCGGAACGGAGTGCCACCAGCACGGGGGTGGGGGGCCTTTGTGAACGGAGTTACGTGGAGTCCTGGTGGCAGTGGCTCCTCTTGCTCTCCCGAGGAGGGGGCTCTGCTCCTCGGGACGCCCTCGAACGGGGAGCCTCGACCCGCCCGCGGCCCGTGCGCGCCCGAGGCTGCCCCCCCCCCCCCCCCCCCTCGGGCCCCGCCCTGGGCACGGACGGGCCGGCCCGCAGCCGCGGCGCGCCGGGCGCTGGCCCCCCGCTGCCAGGCCCCAGCCGTGGCGAGGCTTCCTCGCTGGCCTCCACCGCACACCTTTTGCCCACCGCGGGCTTCTCTCTCTCTCTCGGGCTCGGGCCCGCGGTGGCCTTCGCCTGGCCCTCGGGTGCCCTGCAAATTGGATCCAGGGAGCGGGTCGGGGAAAAGAAGGCCGGCGTATTTCGGGGATCCGGTCGGATATTCCCCTCGATCCTCGCAGCTCGTCCTCCTCCTCCTCCTCCTCCTCCTCCTCCTCCTCCTCCTCCTCCTCCTCCTCCTCCTCCTCTCCTCCTCATCCTCCGCTCGGCAGCGGGTGGCGCGTGACCGAGCGCCTCGTGTGGCCAGGAGCGCCGCCGATTCGCGGTCGATCCGCTCCTCCTCCTCTTCCTCCTCCTCCTCCTCCTTTCGATCCTCCTCGATTCTCGAAGCTCCTCCTCCTCCTCCTCCTCCTCCTCCTCCTCCTCCTCCTCCTCCTCCTCCTCCTCTCCTCCTCATCCTCCGCTCGGCAGCGGGTGGCGCGTGACCGAGCGCCTCGTGTGGCCAGGAGCGCCGCCGATTCGCGGTCGATCCGCTCCGCTCCCTTCCTCCTCCTCCTCCTCCTTTCGATCCTCCTCGATTCTCGAAGCTCCTCCTCCTCCTCCTCCTCCTCCTCTCCTCTCTCCTCCCTCCTCCTCTCCTCCTCATCCTCCGCTCGGCAGCGGGTGGCGCGTGACCGAGCGCCCTCGTGTGGCCAGAGCGGCGCCGCCGATTCGCGGTCGATCCGCTCCTCCTCCTCTTCCTCCTCCTCCTCCTCCTTTCGATCCTCCTCGATTCTCGAAGCTCCTCCTCCTCCTCCTCCTCCTCCTCCTCCTCCTCCTCCTCCTCCTCCTCTCCTCCTCCTCCCTCTTCTCCCCTCCTCCCCTCCTCCTCTCCTCCTCCTCCTCTCCTCCTCCTCCCTCCTCCGCTCGCAGCGGGTGGCGCGTGACCGAGCGCCTCGTGTGGCCAGGAGCGCCGCCGATTCGCGGTCGACCGCTCCCCTCCTCGTCCTCCTCCTCCTTTTCGATCCTCCTCTACGAAGCTCCTCTCTCTCCTCCTCCTCCTCCTCATCCTCCTCCTCCTCCTTCTCCTCCTCCTCCCTCTTCTCCCCCATCCTCCTCTCCTCCTCCTCCTCCTCATCAATCTCTCATCATCATCTTCCAACCCTCCTCCTCCTCCTCCTCCTCCTCCTCCTCCTCCTCCTCCTCCTCCTCCTCCTCCTCCTCCTCCTCCTCCTCCTCCTCCTCCTCCTCCCTCTTCTCTCCCTCCTCCTCCTCCTCCTCCTCCTCGTCCTCCTCCTCTTCCTCCTCGATCCGCGCTCCTCTGGCGCACCGAGGCTGGGGCTCATCCCCCCGGGCATGGACAAGGCCCCCCCCCGCGGCGACCTGGCGCTACGGCGGCCTGCCTGCCTGCCCGGGCGCCCGCGCGCACGGGGGGTGGTGGGGGGCATTGCGGACACGAGGGCTCCTCGTCCTCTTCGTCCTCCTTCATACTTTGTCCTTTTCCTCGTCCTCTTCGTCCTCTTCGCCTTACAAATCTTCTCCCTGTCTCACCCCGAGGCCAGTTTTTAGGGCGGGCCAGGCGTTTCGCCTGAGACTTCCTCACCATTTGTGACGATGAAGATTGCATATTGGCAATAGTTTCACACATGGAGGGCGGGTGGTTTTCAAAATATGGATCTCGCCGTAGCGCGGCGTACATTCGTTTACGGATTGAGGGCGGCTCGTGTTCAAAACGTGGTTCTCGCTATATCGCGGAGCTTCACGGATTGAGGGCGAATGGTTTTCAAAATGTGGCTCTCGCTTTAGCGCGGCGCACATTCGTTTCACAAAATTTGCAAGAGTTTCACGGATTGAGCGCGGCTCCTTTTCAAAATGTGGCTCTCGCCTCAGTGCCGCGTAAACTCGTCTACAACTGCAACAGTTGCAAGAGTTTCACGGAGTCCCATCATCAGCGTACCAGAGATCGCGTTTTGGAAGGACTCAGGATAATGCGGGTGCAACAGTCACGTCGGTTCTCTGCGCTGAAGTCCCAGAAATGGCATTCTGGCACGATTCAGGACTGTCAAGATGCAACAATCAGGTCGATCAATGACGTTGGAATTCCGAGAACAATGTTTGGTATGCCTCAAGGTCTTGAAACGGTTGTTAGGGGCATATGAAGAGGGAGCTTGGAAGGAGGGTTCATTCCAACATCGTTGATGACTCTTGGGTTTACACTGGTCCTCCTCCTCGTTTTCCTCCTCCCTCCAGGCTGTGGGCACGGGAGGGGGCGATCGGTAGCACATTCGAAAAATTTGGCCATGGGGGAAGCGGTTCCTGAGGGAAACGGGTCCTACGTTTTTTCACGAAGAAGGAGCGAGGATATAAGCATAACGTTTGCCGCTTCGCGCGGATTTCTTGGATCTGCGCTGAGCCCTATCTGGCGGCGCTTCCGGCGCCACTCCTAGCGCGCTCCGCGCGCCAGGGAGGGGGGTCCAGCGCAGATCCAAGATATCCGTGCGGAGCGCCAACAGTTTATGTTTACGGCGTTTTCGTTCTCTATGTTCCCCGTTTGGGGCCTCTCGGGGCCCTCCACGGGCCCTGGGACTGTCAGCAAACGACTCAGGATGAAGATCTCGTCTTGGGAGGAGGCCCCGGGGTCGGGGAACCGTTTCCCTCAGGACCCGCTTCCCCCCATGCTAAGAACTCCACGAGGCCAACGATGGCCGCGGGAGAAGGATCCGGGCGACACCCTGATGGGAAGGGAAGTGGTTGACCCGGAAGGTTCGGCTGACAGCACATCGTTGGGCGGTGCTGCAGCCCCTCCTGAGCACAGGCCCCTCCCTGGAGCAACAGCCAGACAGGCCAGGTTTGCACCATCATGCATTGCTCGACTCCGTGCGCGCTTCGGGCACACACGCACAATCACAATCGCACGCCCACGCGCACAGCCACAATCTCGAATCGAGCGCTGGGCCCGGTCCACACACTGGACTCGGTTGGAGAATCTGTCAGGCAAAAGTGGTCACAAGTTGTGCATGGCCTGCCTCTGGAACGCTTCGGCCTTGCAGGCAGCTTCGACCCAGCCAAGTCGCCTGGTTTCCACTTGGCGGTCGGTAGCGGGAGGGCAATCAACCTGGGGGGGAATCGAAGACTTCCCGAAGGTGGCCCAGAAGGGGCCCTAAGCTTCAGGCTTCCCAGATGGGGTTCAAGCAGATGGAATCGGAAAATCGCGCCGCATCGCCGATGCATCGGCGATACGGCTCGATGCGGATCCCGATTTTCGCCACGCCGACAGCGGCGATACATTGCCGACGTCGGCGATGCATCGGCGATGCGGCGCGGTCCTCCGACCCATCTACCCGAGCCTGGTTTGGAAGGCCTCCTGTGAAGGTGCTGGAAAGTTTAACTTGTCTTGCCCGCCGCCCCCGTGTATGTCCAGCCCGTGAACGAACGCCCGACATTTTGGGGGGGGGGGGGGGGCGGGGGCGTGCACCGTGCGCGCCCATGCAATCCCGTGCGGCGGAGGCGGAAGGAGGAGGAGGGGAAGGAGGAGGAAGGGAAGAGGAGGAGGAGGAGGGGCAAGGAGGAGGGCAAGGAGGAGGACGAGGACGGAGGAGGAGGACGAGGAGAAGGAGGAGGAGAGGAGGAGAGGGGAGGCGAGAAGGAGGAGGAGGGAGAGGAGGGAGGAGGAGGAGAAGGAGGAGGAGGACGAGGAGGAGCACGAGGAGGAGGAGGCGGAGGAGGAGGAGGAGGAGGAGGAGGAAGAGGAGATTTGTGTGATCCCTCCGCTGGGTGCTCGCTTCGCAGTCGACGGGGGCTGCTCTCGGCACGAACTCGTGGGAGCCCCGGACAGCGCAGCCCACCCCCCGTCCAACCACGGGCATCGGCCAGTGGCGGGGGCTGTGCCGCTATTGCCCCGCACGGCTGCGCTGGCACAGGGCCCGTCTGTGCGAGGAGGAGGAGGAGGCGGAGGAGGAGGACGGACGCTACAGCTTTGAATCGAAAGTTCGCCCAAACGTAACAAATCAAGGAGGAGGAGGAGGAGGAGGAGGAGGAGGAGGAGAGGAGGAGGAGGAGGAAAGAGGAGGAGGAGGAGGAGGAGGCGGAGGAGAGGAGATGATGAATGAGGGAGGAGGAGGAGGAGGAGGAGGAGAGAAAGAAGGAGGAGGAGGAGAGGAGGATGAAGGAGAGAGGAGGAAGAGGAGGAGGAGGAGGAGGAGGAGGAGGAGGAGGAGGAAGAGAGCGCGGCTGCCGAAGAGGCGGACTGCGCGGAGACGGGGGCAGGCCGGCAGGAGCGGGGGGTGCGGGAGGGGAGACGCGCGCCCGCGCCACATGTGACAGCCTGCCCCATCCCACCCATCCCTCCACGCTGCGTGGGGCGTGGCCCTCGGAAGGGTCTCGTGTCATCTCGCGTGCCCTGTCCAATCAGGGCCGACTCTGTGGCTCAGCGAGTCGCTCCGCCGAGCCTGGCCCCGCCAGCGCGCTCCGGTGCGACACGCCGAGACTGTCCCCTCGGCCCGGGCCCCCCCAGGGCGTCGGCGCCCAGGGCCTCTCCCGGCCCTCTCCGCCCCGCGGGGCGGAGGGGCACGGCAGCCGCTCGCAGGGCGCAGCGTGTCGCCGGGGCCGCCGCGGCGGCGCGCCGAGCAGGGGCTCCCGAGCGCGTGTCTCGACCAGACGTCAGAGTGGCCTTCCGCCGGCGTGACCTCTTGGTGCGGGGACGTTGGGGCCCCTGGGTGAGAGTCACGCGAGGCGGTAGCAGCGTCTGGCGCGCTCGGGTTCTGCCTTCCCGCGGCCCACGAGAAGCCGCGCACCAAGGGTCACTCTTACCCAGGGTCGCTCTCGCATGTAGCCGAATGTCTCCGAACATCCCAGGCTTTTGGTAGCACATCATGGGAGGCCCGCATGTTCTCGGGACTTCGTCTTCAGGGTGCATTCGCGTGCGCTGGCGTTGTAATCGATGCGGAATCGCCGATGTCGAGTCGATAAGCGTCGAATAGCGTCGACTCAGCTTCGATTGGCGTCGACCAGCGCCGGTTCTCAAGAGCATCAAGATGGGATGGGAGGCTCCCACGAGCTCACCACTTGCCAAGCCACCCCCACCCAACCCGAAGGCCCTGGACCACTCCAGATTTCGGGTTGGCGGTTTACGGGTTCCATCGTGCTTCCTCGATGTAGTGGAGCGCCCCCCACTCTGGAAATCGACCCCCCGACGTCATGATTTTTTCCGTGCGCGCATTTCCCGCGGGTGGGGCCGCCCCGGGCGAGGGCCTCCGAGGGCACGGGAAGATTCCCCCACCAGTGCTTGCACTGAAGGGGATGTCCAAAACCGCCGCGGGACGAAACACCTCCTCCTCGGCGGGCCGATCCTCCTCCTCCTCCTCCCTCCTCCTCCTCCTTCCTCCTCCTCCTCCTCCTCCTCCTCCTCCTCCTCCTCCTCCTCCTCCTCCTCCTCCTCCTCCTCCTCCTCCTCCTCCTCCTCCTCCTCCCCCCTGGGGCCGTTTTGTCATCCCCAGGTTTTTGTTTCTCGCGGTCCCGAGGCCCGGCGAGGGCCCTCGGAGGCCGAAGATGGCGAGAGAAAGCCTCCCGTCGTGATGTGGTCACCACTCGGGGGGGGGGGTGGGCCGGCAGCCAGGAGCTGCCACCGAGCCAGGCGAACTCGGTACCGAGTTCGGGGAACCGGGTGTCCCCTCTGAATAGTTTCTTTTGCGTCGACTGGCGTCTGGGAGCCGATGCGATAGCGCCGCTTTAGCGTCGTCTGGCGTCGATGCGCCCCCGATTCGGCGTCGACGAGCGTCGATGTGGCGTCGACGGGCGTCGATTCGCAGGATCCGACGAGGTGGCACGGGAGGCCCCCACGAGCTGCCAACGGAGGCGAAGATCCTGAAGGTCGTGAAGAAGGGCTGTACGCACGGGGAGCTGAAGACGGGCTCGACCTCGGGCCGCGCCGCCGCGCGCCGCCCCGCCCTCCCCCCCCCCCTTGGGGGCCCCGCGCGTTTCCCGGGTTGGTGTCTTCTCTGGTGCCCCATCGCGGGCTCGGTGCGGGCTCGGCGCGGATCTGGCGCGGAGTCGACGCGGATTCGACGCGGATCCGACGAGTCCGACACGGATTCGACACGGATCCGCCGTGGATGGGGCCGCGACGGGAGAGACAAGGTCCCCCGAGGATGCAGCAAAAGGATGGAGGAGGAGGAGGAGGAGGAGGAGGAGGAGGAGGCTCCGACGGCTACCGGGGCGGAGGCGGAGAAGGAAGGAGGGTAACAAGGAGGGGGCGAGGGTGGAAGGGGGAAGGCGGCGGAGGAGGAGGTGGAGGCACTGGCGGAATCAGAAGCGGAGGAGGGAGGAGGAGGAGGAGGAGGAGGAGGAGGAGGAGGAAGGAGGAGGAGGAGGAGGAGGAGGAGGAGGAGGAGGAGGAGGAGGAGGGCCCCCCGAGGATGCAACATAACCCCTCCCCCCCCCCTCCGCCTGCCCGCGCCTGGTCGGCCTCGGGCCCGGGCCCCCCGAGGATGCAACATAACCCCTCCCCCCCCCTCCGCCTGCCCGCGCCTGGTCGGCCTCGGGCCTGGGGCGCGCCGGCGTCCCCTGGGGGCTGTCGGGGGGCGGCCGTCTTCGGGGGCAGCGCGAGGGGGGGATCAGAGGAGGGACAGTTCATGCGGTTCCAGCAGGGGGCCCCCCGGGAAGTGACATTTGAGACGGGCGATGCCGATTTCTCACGCCCGCGCGGCTTCGCCCACGAGGTCGCCGCATGACGCTTTCTCACTCTCGCACGCCTCGAAGTCTCGAAGGCAACGCCGCGGTCTCAGAAGTCCCTCTTGCTGGCGTCCCTTTAGGAAACGCATCCTCCACCCTTCCCTCACCTTCCCTTTTTCGGGCCTCCTGGGCAGCCCTCGTAGCCACCGCCGGATTCGCTTCGAAATCCGGGTCAGAACGCACCCCAGGAGAGGTCGGAGGAGGAGCGGTATGGGTACTTTCAGGTCTCTCCTGGGAATACGGTGAAGTCGGGCATGTCCGTGTACAGGAGGAGTACTCAAGAGTAGTAAAAAAGTCCTCAGGTGACGATGTTTCGTGCTCTCTGGACTATCTTTGATGATTTTGACCACCTTCGTCTTTCCTCCAAGCTCCGCCTGTAGGAGGGCACGCCCGACCTGACCCTGGGGCCGTCGGAGGGCGGCCGTCTTCAGGGGCAGCGCGAGGGGGGAGACGGCCGGGGTTGCGTAGTAGGTGGACCATGCCGAGTCACGGGTACCCTTGCGTCCTGTGTTCTGCGGCCCATGCCTTCTGCATCCCTGTGGCAGTGTGGCCTTTGGGAGGGCCTTGTGCGTCCTCCTGCGCGTCCTCTCCAACCACCCCCGACTGCGGGCTCAGAAACTGTGGCTCAGCGCGTCGCTCCGCCGACTCTGCCCCACCACGCTCCGGCGCGACACGGCATCCACTTGGCGGTCCCCAGGCGCCCACTTGCCGAGCTCGTCCCAGCTGCCCGCCCCGTGGAGCAAAGTGACACGCTCCCCGCTCGCAAGGCATGGAGTGTCGCCGGGGCCGCCGCGGGGATACGCTCTGCAAAACTTCCCGACCGTGGGCTCAGGGGGGGATGCATCGGAGGTGAGAGGTTTGAGGCTTTCGGAAGTTGTCGTCGGTTCTCATCGGTTTTACCGCCTCGGGATGCTCTTCTGCAGCTTCGCCTTGCCGAGAGCGTTCTGGGGATGCCGGATCGTCCCGAACGGCCACTGCAGAGCCGATTTACGACTCGAGAAACGAAAAGGGCAACGTTAGGGGTGGGTAGGTTCATGGGGGGATGCATCGAGCCCAGATCGCCCATTCTTCACCGATAGGGTCCCGATTGTCCAGCCCGCCCAGGAATTTTGCGGCTTCGCTACCGGTGGCCTTATTACCGATACATAGGCGATGCATCGCCGTTCCGGGTCGCTGCTTCTTTCCTTGAGCCGGTCCCCCCTCTTCAGGCTCCCCCCCCCCTCACGTTCGCACTGGCAGGTCAGTCAGACTCCGGCATCTTGCCAGGTCGGCCCAGTACGATTGAAAGGAGCGCGGGAAGACGGGGGACACCGGCAGCAGTGCTTGGACTCGCCGTCGGCGTCGCTGCGGACGTTGTCCACTTGAAGCAGAAAGTCGCCTGCCCAGCAGCGGCTGGTGTCGGTGTTGGATAACAGTTGCCTTCGGGCATCGTATTTTGTTGTCCGCACCCGTCTCGAGTCTGCCAAGCGACCGCCCGCAGAAGCGAGGAAGAACACGACGGGCGTTCTCGCACACGTTTCGGGCCCCGGGACCCTTCCGCGGACCGATGCGGCGTGAGAAGCGCCGCAGAAGGACTGAATGGGAGGCAGCGCAGCAGGAAAGAGGCGGAGTGTAGGAACGGCGCAATTCCGATGAGCGGTCTGAACTGGGACGGGTCGTGAACTCGACTTTGTCTCCGTCCGCGCGGTAGGGTGTTCGCGCCCTTGTGCAGTTCAGCGAGCGGTCTGAACTGAGGCGGGTCGTGAACTCGACCCTTTCTTCGTCCGCGCGGTAGGAGGAGGATGTGGAGGAGAGGGAGAAAATGAAGACAAGGCGGAGAAGGCCTCTTGGGGGCTCCCTTGGGGCCTGGGAGCCTCCTGGGGGCCTCTTGGGGGCCTCTTGGGGGCCTCTTGAGGCCCACTCTTTGGGCGTCCTGGGCCATCTTAGGCGGCTCGTGGCCTCTCTGAGCCTTCTGAGTGCTTTCTTGGAGCGCTTTAGGGCTCTTTTGGGAGCCTCTTGGGCGATCTCGGGGTCCCCTTGCGCCGACTTCGGGCCGTCTTGGGGGGCTCTTGGGCTGCCTTTGGGCTATAGGCTATATGGGAGGCCTCTTGGGCCATCTCGAGCGGCTGCAAACCCAAACGAAAGAGAATTCCAAATCCTTTCAAAAACCAAAGGACAATCAACGGCCGTGGCCTCCTCGGGCTCCCCTGGAGGGCCTCTCAGAGCCCACTTGGGCAGTCTTGCGGACCTCTTGGACCATTTTGAGGCCGTCCTGAGAGCCTCTTGAGCTGTCTCGGCCGTTTTGGTGTCGTCGTCGCCGTCCTGGATGTCGTCTTGGAGGCGATCCTGGCTGTCTGGAGGCTGACAAAAGCGCCAGAAATCAGATTCATGGGGGGCCATGGTCGAGGCACGCGTGCGGGTAATTACGGGGGTGAGGCCCTGAGATAGATTCAAACGCCTCCCAGGCAGCAGACGAGCATTCCAACACGCCCGCTCCGTGCAGGCACGGTGGCGGATCACGACGCCAAGCATTGGGCGAACCGCCGTCGGAGTGCTGAAGCGCGCGTTTCGATTGGGAGGCAGTGATTTCGGCCAGATTCTGGGGCCCCAGAAAGGCTGGGCGGACAACCGCGCGTCCCGTGTTTTCGCCTCCCCGGAAACCGCCGACGTCGAGAGTTCCTCCCCGTGCTTGGTGCCGCCAGCGCTTCCTGACGATTGCGGGCAATTCTTCATAAGTGGTTCATGCAAACCCGACGGAGGAAGCGGGAGCCCAAGTAACCTCGGCCCCGAACCCCCAATCTGGGCACGAGCCCCCTTGGGCCTCCTGGGCCACTCCCCGGCCGCCCAAGACCTCGGTGCAACCCCAGAGCGCCCACGATGGCCTCCAGGTTGCCCAAGAGGCTTCCAAAACCATTGCAAGCGCCCCAAGACCGCCCCAACGCATGCCAATAGAACCTCCAGGCGGCCTTGTCGGCCTCCTTGGCCTTCTGGAGGAGCGCGAGGTTGTGGTCGAGTCCAGTGCCGGCCAGCTGCCGGCTGCGGGCGACCTCCCCATGCCGCCGTGCCTGGCATGGGCCAGAGGCGCGTGCGGTACGGCTGACGTCGGGACAGCTCTGCACCAGAGTGCGGAGCCCGCCTGGGCTCCCGTGTCGCACCGCCTCCAGCGTGTCCCCTGCCCCCCCTGTGGGGACAGGCGAGGAAAAGGTACCCATACCTCCACCCTTCGCCCGTTTTCTCCTTTTTCGGCCTCCTGGGCCTCCCTCGTCGCCACCGCTGGATTCGCCTCGAAATCCTGGTCAGAACGCACCCCGGGAGAGGCCTTGGGAGCAGCGGTATCGGTACCTTTTGTTCTCCCCAGTGTGGGCAGGGGGGGCCGGGGCCTGGGAACGAAGCGTAAGCAGACACAGATCGCCGCATCGTGCAGCCGCGCCTTTACGAGGAGTTGCACCAAGCGGATCCAAGTCAAGCAGATCTTGCCAGCGACCTGCCCGGCACTCCAAGAGCCACCTCTCCAAGGCGAGAGGCGCCGGCACGACTGTTCGCACACCTGCCCCGAGGACGCGTCACGAGGGGTACAAGCCCTTGGGCGATCCACGCGTCATTCCTGTCAGCTCCAGGGGTGATGCACGAGTGTGCAAATCAAGGGCGGGCGGAAGTCGAGCTGCACGGGGCACCGAAGTTGTCCGAAGACCGATGCCTGAGGCGGCGGGCACACGCGAGCTCAGTATGAAGGCAGCGGGGCCCGAGAGCGCGGAGGTGAAGGGCAGGCCTCAACGATGCTTGCAAGATAAACCTAAGCCTGAACAAGTGGTGCGTGAGGGCAAGCTTCAAAATGCACGGCTGTAGATGCCCCTCTGGCGAAACAAAGATCCACCGCGGAGACGGAAGGAAGGGGAGAAGGAAGGAAGAAATACAACAAGATTTGCTGGCCAAGCACGGCGGAAATTGGCCAAGGGGGCCAAACACAATGGGTGGACAGGTACCCATCGGTCGTTGAAAGTATGTATTTTTGGGGTCCCATATTCTTATCTACTTTCAGCGCCTTCCTACTTCAATATACGAGTGGCTTCACCTTGTCCGTCCTCCTTAGGGGTCGGGCGGAAAACAATCTACTTCCGACGCCCTCATACTTCATGCTTCTACCTACTTCCGACTTATGGGTGAAAATGCTTCAGAACAACCAAACACGCCAGGAAGCAGAGGCCCCCTGCAGCCACGAGCCTCGCAGCCCTGAGTGCCCACGGAGAGCCCCTCAGGCGCGGCCCTCAGGACGCAAGTGGCCCTGGGGCGGCGAGATCTTTGTGCCGCTGCCACTCGCACGTGTTCCAGCCGCACGTGGTGGCCGCGTTCCTCGTGGGGCCTTGCAGAGGTGATCTCCTCCCAGCGCCTTCCGGAGCACGTCTTGGGGCGCTCTTGGGCCGATTCGGGACCTCTTGGACTGCCGCGTGGCCTTCGTGGGAGCATTCAGGCCCGTCGTGCCGCTCCTTGGCCCTGGTCACTGCACGCGAGAAGACGCGAGAACGCGTGAGCGACGCCTGGAAGTCCGGAAAGTGGGGCTTTAGGCCCCGTGCGGGACCTTGACAATTTTCAGTATGCAGCACAGCGGACTCTAAGGCACCTCTAGACACTCCACTCCGTGCCTCAGGACGCCGTCGTCGCCAGGGTGGCGCAGGATATCCCACTGCTCGGAAGCGCTGCGAGCCCTGAAGCTCCTCTGAGAGGCCTCGAGCAACAGCTGAGCGACGCAACAAAAAAAGGTTCCACTGCGCCGACATTGAGTGTTGCGCAAGCCGCTCGCGTCAGGTCGCGCGTGAGCGCTCCCGTCTCCAGTGCGGCGTGCCGCGGCGGCGGCCCGCGTAAGCCGCCGCGCAAGGTCGCTACGTCATCTCGGGCAAGGCCCGTTTCGGTTACGTCGCTCCGCTGGGGGGCGGCGTTGGACCAGCTCCGTGGACTGGGGGGCCTCCGCCCTTCCGCACCGCCCAGGAGGCGCAGCGGCAGGGCGAGGCCTCCGTGGCCAGAGGCCCCGGGCTGTGCGTCAGGGGGGGCGCCGCGACCGATGCCGCGCCAGACGCCCAGGCGGCGACCCCCGCCCGGGCGGCAGGCAGGAAGCCTCCCGCGCGGGGCCCTCCGGAGGTCGAGCGGTGCCTGCGGGGAGGCGGGGCCCGACCCGACGTCGCGAAGCCCTCTCTCGCACAGACGCCGGCCACAGGGAAGCCGGTCTTTGGGGGAGCCGGCACGGCCGGGAGCTGGCGCGGGGAGTCGCCGCCCTGCGGGCACCGCGCCAGGGCGAGGTCTCCGCTGGATCCCCGTAGGGGCCGCCCTCCGCTGGCCCTCCCCAGGAGCTCGCGAGAGGGGCGGCAGCTGCGCAGTTCGCAGACCCCAAGGGAGAGACCGAGGCCGCGCGTGGTCCCAGTGAGGCCGTCCTCCGCTGGCCGCTCCCTGGAGCTCAACGAAGGTGGCGGGCAGTGGCGCAGCTCGCACCATGCAGGAACGACGAGGTCGCGCTGGGATCCCCGCAAGAGCGCCCTCCGCGGGGCCTACCTGGAGCCCACGAGCGTGACGACAGTTTCCGAGTCCACAAACCCCGGTCCCAGGGAGGGCAAGGGCAAACTCAAGTTTAGGTCGGGCCGCGCTGCGCTGGACCTCCCAGGAGCTCACGAGAGTTGCGGCAGTTGTCCAGTTCGCAGCCACCTGGAACAGAGAGGTATGAGGTAGGGGGGGAGATGTCGGGAGCTGGGGGGAGAAGGAGGAAGGCGGCAGCAGTGCTCCATTCAAAACGAAGACCCCACGCAGGAGGGCATGGAGGAAGACAAATCCTCCTCTCCCTCCTCCCCCATTTGCGCGAGCGTCGTGCGGTGGCAGCCGGCGAACGCCGGCACCGACGTCGGCAGAGCTTCGTCGCCGGGGCCGCGGCAGCCAGCACGAGGTTCAGGAGGGAAGAAAACACACAGACACAATTAATCGTCGATTCCCAGGAAAATACAAGGAAATATGGGAAGCGGGGGGGAAGACAAAAGCCCAGAAAGTATAGGAAAATATGGAGAATCATTTTATGTATGTGTATGTATTTGTGTGTCCTGGGGCCTCTTCAGAGGTGGGCTGCTGCTGCCAGGGAGGCAGCCCGAGGGACGGCGGCTTCCCCAGCCGCGGGGCGGCGCTCCCCGGGCCGTGCTGCTCGCTCCCCTCCCCGCCGCCGGCCCCTCCACGTCGATTCCTCCCCTCTCCTCTGCCCTCCTCTTCCTCGCTACTATAGGGGAACGAAACGTGACATAAATATAAAAACTCTGAGATCCGCGCGGATTTCTCGGAACGGCGCTGGGGCCCCCCCCGGCGGCGCCTCCGGCGCCGCCCCTGGCGCGCTCCGCGCGCCAGGCAGGGGGGTCCAGCGCCGATCCGAGAAGTCCTGGCGGACCTGGGAGCTTTTATGTTTATGGTACTTTTTGTTCCCCTACTCCTCTCTCCTGGGAGAGGGCGGGGGTGAGGGAGGTGGTGGTGGTGTACATGTTTGGGCGCCCCATCCCCACCCCTCCGCTTGCGCCGGGCTTGGCCCCCTGCAGGAGGAACAGTCAGGGATGGTCCAACATAATCTGGGGGCGATGTCTTGAGCATGCCTTGGCTCTGTTTGCATCGTTTTGTTTTTTGTTACCTGACGTTTCGTCCGAGATCCGCCTGCAGGGGGACACGCCCGACCTGACCCTCCGCGCTCCCCGCTCCGTGCCCGGCCGCCTGGCAAGCCCCAGGCCTCACGGCGCTCGGGAGCAGGCTGATCGAGGGCTGGGGGTCCAGCAAGTCGGCGGCGCGCATGTCCTTCGAGGAGCCTCGGCCGGCGTCGTCGTCGTCGTCTTCGCCGTCGCTGTCGTAGGAGGATTGGGGTTTCCTGCCCAGCCTGTCTGGTCTTAGTCTTGGTCGGGCTGATGGGTTTTGATTTTTTTAATGGCGTCTCTCCCGAATCGGGGATCTGATGGCGCCCATGTCGGGCGCACCCTTTCGGAGTAGGGGGTACGATGGACGTCCAGGGACCCATCGCACAAGCTGACCGAATGTGCCGGGCGTTCCACAGCCTTCATGCACGTAAAAGACCAGAGGGACGCCTGGTAAGGACGACACGAACTGCTGCACTCCGCTTCTCGTGCGTGCGAAGTTCTGCGCGAGGTGCTGAGCTTGCCAGCCTGGGGGGTGCTGGTCGCGCCCACACTCCTGCACTCCTGCCTCGGAGGCGGCGCCACAGCTCGCACATCTTGGGGGTGCCCGCTCTCCGGAGAGTCCGCGCCGCAGGTCGCGCGGTCGTGGCCAGTTGTGCACCCGTTCCCCGTTGGAGCTGTCTGGGGTCTCGATGACGGCGACGACGAGAACGGTCAGGGGAATCAGAAGTGACATAAACAGAACAGCTCGGAGGTCCGCGCGGACTTCTCGGATCGGCGCTGGATCCCCCTCCCTGGCGCGCGGAGCGCGCCAGGGGAGGCGCTGGAGGCGCCGCTGGGGGACCCCAGCGCCGATCCGAGAAATCCGCGCGGACCTCCGAGTTTTTATGTGTATGCCACTTCTTGTTCCCCTAACGACAAAGACCAAATTGCAGAGTTGAGCATTGCTTACGCGGGTGGAGGGCGGCTTGTCTGCAAAAGCACTACTGGCATGAGAATTGGCACCACCGTCAGCGTCTCCTTCTGTAACCATTTTGGCTCAAACTGTTCTGGCGCGTTCGATGTTTTGATGGGGTCGCCCCCCCCAGACGAAGAGCAGTGGCTGAGCGATGAACAGTTCAGTCCGCTCAACATCCCGACGCCTGGTTGATGCAACTCCCTCGGTGCCGTGCGAGGCCAGTATCTTGAGCCAGGAGGAGGTCTGGACGGACGAGGCCAGAGATGAGTTTCCCAGCCTCGCGGAGGGTCGTAGCCAGGCGGCGTTTTGGGGGCTCGGCGTCTCCGCGCGGGTTCGGCCAGACGGCGGCAGCGGGCGCGAGGCAGTGGGTGCTGCAAAACCTCGAATCGATACCTTGGGCAAGCTGGCTTGCACGATGGTTCGACGGCTGTATCCTGACAGCATGGAGCCTGCTGCCCTGGGGAGCGCCAAGGGTTTGGCGTCCCGACTCGGCCTCGATGTCTCCAAGTTTTGTAAGAGCGTGTACTCTGTGGCGCACAGCGCTTGGACGGCAGGCTGGAGGCACGATGCGGCGAGCTACCGGAATGCGAGGGCCCACCAAGCCAGCATCTTTAACCGCAGTTTCTAGTTTGCATTATTCACTGTCCACACCTCCCTGCTCTTGCCCACGCGCGCCACCGATTGACGCGAGGTCGTCAACGCGCGGAGGCACCTTCCGCCACTACATGCTTTCGCCACACCTCACTTCCTTTCTTATGGTTTGGGCATGAGAGATCATTTTCGGTGGAGGACGAGAGACAACAACCGCGGCCCTGGAACTCATCGCCTGCCTCGGCGGGGGATGGTTCCTCGGATAGGACCAGGGCCCTTCCCACGGAGTGCCCCACGAGGAGTCGGCGAGGTCCTTGCGCCGTCCACCTTGGTGAGCGCGGCTGGGCCGCGCTCGCACCGCTCATGCCGCACAGCCCTGCTTCCACCCCGTCTTCACCCGATCACATCGCTAGCTGCCGCACCGCCGCCCACATCCCCTCCCCTTTTCTCCCTCCTCGAGGTTTTTGTCTCTCTTTCCTCCTTCTCTTCGGTCTACTGCTGTCTACATTTCTGTTAAATGTTATCCCGCAGCCGGCGGCTCACGGGGGCGGCCGCCCCTGGAGTGGCCTGGCTCTCTGGCTTGATCAACCCCATCTGGGGCAAGCAGCCCTGAGAGGGGGGGATTGTCACGTTCGACGAGCCCTGGGGCCAAGAGAGAGAGAGAGAGAGGAACAGACAAAATATAATGAGGAGGAGGAGGAGGAGCATTGAGGAAGAGCATGAGTGAGGAGCGCCGAGGAGGAGGATGAGGAGGAGGCGGAGGAGAAGGGGGCGGAGGAGGAGGAGGAGGAGGAGGAGGAGGAGGATCATGCTGGAGGAGGGTCGGGAGGATGTGGGCCTCCCTGGTTGGCCCCGGGAGGTCCTCGGGGTCGCCACAGGTGCCCGGGAAGCCTCGGGGGGCGACGGTGGGCCGCGGCCCCGCCTCGCGTTCCGCCACTGGCAGCCTCGCCCGGGCCCCGCCCAGGACTTCCTGAGGGTCGTGGTCAGAGTGCGCGAGCTGGTGCGGCGGGACTCCCTTCGCCGCAGGGGCCGTCGTCGTCGCCGCCGTCGCCGCCGTTCCTTGTCTGCTCTGCAGAGGCTTCGGTGTGTGTGTGTGTGTGTGTGTGTGTGTGTGTGTGTGTGTGTGTGTGTGTTTGTGTGTGTGAATGTGTGTGTGTGTGTGTATGTGTGTGTGTGTGTGTGCGTGAGCCGCAGCGTCAATGAGGGCCAATGAGGATAACATGGGAGTAGCGACTTGGGCGATTAAGTAGCCATACCGTAGCACCCCGCAGTTGCGGATAAGAGTGAGGGGGCGGCGGGTACGTCGGCAGTCTGCGAGGCTCTGAAGAAGCCCGCCGCAAGCGCAGAATTTTTCGCAGGCGCCAATTTTCTTCTCAAAACAATGTGGGTGGGTCACGGGTTGGGTCGCAGGTGGGTCGCGGGTGGGTCGCAATTGGGTCGTGGGTGGGTCGCTGGTGGGTCGCGGGGTGGGTCGCGGGTGGGTCGCGGGTGGGCCGCGGGGTGGGTCGCGGGTGGGTCGCGGGGTGGGTCGCGGGGTGGGTCGCGGGGTGGGTCGCAGGTGGGTCGCGGGTGGGACGACGAGAACACCAACAGCAACAACAACAACGCAACAAGCATAATCCTCACCGCGGATTCTCACTTTAGCCACGCATCCAGGGACAATGAACGACCCTCCGGCCCCCTCACTCTGATGAAGAAAAAGCTGCTCATCTTCTTCCTCCTCCTCCTCCTCCTTCTCCTCCTCCTCCTCCTCCTCTGCCCCCTCCTCCTCCTCCTCCTCGTCCTCCTCCTCCTCCTCCTCCTCCTCCTCTTCCTCCTCCTCCGCCCAAGGGCCAGCAGCACGGGCCAAGAGGGGCCCCGAGGCGCCTCCGGCGCCGCCCCTGGCACGCTCCGCGCGCCAAGGAGCGGGGTCCAGCGCGGATCCAAGAAATCTGCGCGGAGCGCCAAAAGTTCTGTTTATGGCGCTTGCTCCTCTAGGGAAGGGATAGGCACAGGGGGGGTGCATCGACCCCGGATCGCCAATTCATCGCCGAGAGGGGCCCGATGGCCCCAACCGGCCCAGGGAGGTGCGGATTCACTGTCGGAGGCATCTCGCCGATCTATCGGTGATGCATCGCCGATTCCAGGTCGATGCGCCCCCCCTTATGCCAGTCCCCCCTATTGTTGCCCCTCAGTGGCGAAAACGACGAGGGAGAGGAGAAGGGAGTTGGAGGGGGATCTGGAGAAAAAGGGGGGGCGACCAGGATTTTGCTCTGCTCGTCTTCCTCCTCCCCCTCGAGCTCTTTCAGCTGCCGCCTTGTCCTCAACGTCAGTCATGTTACCCACTTCCCTCGGCGGCGAGCCTGGGGGGGTAGTGAGAAGGGCGGGCCTTCTCGGAAGGCTCGGAAGTGTTCTAAGACTTCCTCGAAAACACAGCAGTCTTCTCAGAAGACCGGAAGGCTTCTGAGGAGCCCCGCCGCCTTCTGAGAAGGCCTTCTCCTTCTCACTTCCCCCCCATCGCTCGCCGCCGATTCCCCGTGTTGCCCAACGGCTGCGCGACATCCGTCTCCCAGCCCCCAGCACATGTCAGGCCAGGTGTGATGGGCCACGTACTCACCTCCACCGTCTGTGTGTAACCCCTGTCCGTGCTCCTCCTTCCCTGACGTTTCGCCGGCTCGGCTCAGGCCTGCTGCGCGGAGGTGTGGCCTCTGCTCTTTGGGTAGAAGGCTTCTCTCTATCATCACCATCCTACGGAACCCAGGGCGGGATTGGCTCTCTGACCTTTCCCCCCCCTCGGTGCGTCCGCGCCAGGTGCACACCTGTGCAGTGAAGCAAGACGACGAAAACGACGTTGACGGCGACGTGGACGGCAACGGCAATGACGACGACGACGACGACGACGACGACGACGACGACGACGACGACGACGACGACGACGACGCCGACGACGACGACGACGACGACCCCCGCGGCGACGTGGTTTTTCTGCCACGACGTGGACAGTGGAGCTCTCGACCTGGGCCCGCAGATGGCCAGCTGCAGCCCCAAAATTCGTGAGCGCTAAATATCAGCACTGTCGACCACCCGAAAGTCGAAAGTCTGTGCTCTGGTCCTGAAAGCTGGTAGCCAGACCCGCCACCCGGAGCGCGACCTGACAAAAATTCCCGGAGCCACACCCAGCTGGTGGCTACGATGAGGGCTCCCGAAAGTTTATCTCCGAAACGTTGGAAACATACGAAGATCAGGATGTGAATTGTGGGAGGGTTACTTCAGCTTCGGCGCTGGCAATGTGTGGTCGAACACCGACCTAGTTTGGCACACTCCAACTTGAACCCGTGCTTGATAGATGTAAGTTTTGGCATAATCATGGCCAGTCCGACGCAGTGGCTTCTTAATCGGGATTCGCACCTGCCTTCTTACGACGTTCTCCCAGAAATGGCCTCTCAACACGAGAGACAACAAGGGCAGCCTTCCTCCCGCTGGCCTCCGAGCGGGGGCCTTTCCAAGTGGTGCGGCGACCACACTGGGTGGTGAGTCAGTGGGGTGTTCCGCGGGGGCCGCACGCTTCTGGGAGGCTCGGGCCGTTCTGGGCGAGTGGGCCGCCCAGGGCCGTGGACGTCTGGGGCGAGGGGGCCACCCGGGGCCGCCCGGAGGCTGTCTCGGGCGAGGGGGCCACCCGGGGCCACCCAGAGGCTGTCTCGGGCGAGTGGGCCGCCCGGGGCCCCGAGGCCGCGCCGCGACGGGCCCCCTGCGGCGACGCGCCGTGCGGGGAGGCCTCCCATGGGACTTCGAGAGATATCCCCGCCGCGCCCCCCGCGGGGGGGGGGGGCAGGCGGAGGGCGCGGGCCTCCTCGGGAGGCTCACGGAGGGCGTCCGGCCTCCTGCCTGCGCCTCCTGCGCCTCCCCGGCCGCCACGGAGGGCTGCTCTCAGAAGGCCACAGAGGGCCCAGACCCCCTCGCGCGAGGAAAAAATCACGGCGGGAGGCTGTTCGCTATCTGCGGCGCCGCCGGAGGCCCTTCCCGGGCCTCGGGGCTGTACACAAACCGACTCGCGGGAGGAAAAGCCCGTCCCGGGGAAGGGGTCTTCAGCCCTGCAGCTGCAAAACAAAAAGCACGACGTCGGGGGCCCGGGGGCCTCTGAGACGCCCCGCGTGGCCGCCCGGCCCGGCCCGGGCACCCCTGGCAAGCGCTCTCGGCGAGGCGCCGCCGCCAGAGCGCACCCCGAGGGCGGAGCACCGCCCTACCGAGCCGACCCTGGACCTCGCACCCGGGAGCTCGAGCGTGCCCCCTATCGGCGCGCCGCCGCTCCTCGCTGCCTTCCCGCGGGGCGCAGGAGGAGTCGTTCCACCTGCGGCCCGTCTTCGCGCGCCACTGCACGCCTGCCGCCGTCGGCCGCCTCGCGTCCGGCGCGCCCGGCGCGCTCGACACGCGGACCATCGACACGGCCGGCATCTTCCGGGCACCGAGGGCGGCCCCCGCAGGATGCGGGCAGTGGCGGCGCGTCCCGGCTTGCCTCTTTTAGGCCCACCAGAGAAGGGCCCGAGAACTCCTTTGTGGTCTGCACGGGATGTTCTTGGAACGTTTCTGGCAGGGACTGGCTTGTTGGAACACATCGGGCTTAGGTTCTAAGAACGTTACTTCTGTGATTAGAGGATTGATTGTTGGGTTCTAAGGCAATGTCGTGGTAGGCCTGTACGAATGCCAGGACGGTCGGCCCCTGCTCGAGGGTGCAATCGGGGGTCAGTCAGAGCGCCAGATCTTGCAGGATCTTGCAGAGCCAGGGTTGCATTGGGCCGGTCTTGGGTGCAGGATCCTGCAGGATCCTGCAAAGCCTGATTGACCCGGGTCTGGATTGACCTGTCCTCGAGGGTGGGGAGGGAGGGAGGGCTCAACGTCGGGGGGATGGGCTCAGGAGGGGGACGCATCGACCCCTTGTCGCCCGTTCATCGCCGCCGATAGCCCACCCCGCCCAGGAACTTGCGGATCGATCGGCGGCCTGCAGTCAACCCGCATAGTAAGGATAGGCAAATTTCCGAAGGGTACCCTTGCATCCTTGTCTCCTCGGTCCATCCTTGGCTACTTTCGCTAGCCGTGCCCCGCTCGCAAAGCTTTGACATAGCCTTCCAAGGCTCTTGTATCATTATCGTACATCCTCACGATACAGGCCGGCTGTATCGCCGATCCCTCGGCGAAATGCATTGCCGAGGGAGCGATACACCACGGGAGAGTGACCCTTCGCCAGATGGACCTTTTATTGCGGACGCGTTCGTTTTCTAAAAGTATCTCTTCCGTCAGGGACCATCGAGGAGCATTCTGGGTCATCTTGCGAGAGAAAAAGAACACGACACAACAAAAACAAACCAGCAAGCAAAACAAAAAATGCACGAAACCGAAAATTGCACGGGTAATGGACGTCTGAGCGATGGCGAGGGCCCCCCCCGGTCGCAGCGCGCGATGCGACAGCAGCAGCTCGTGCGCTTGCGTGTTGGCCCCCCCCGCGCTCCCCCGAAGCCGCGCACCGGATGCTCTCCTGCGTGTGTCGGCGAGGGGGGGGGGGCGGTAGGGAGGGGGATGTGGGACAGGTGGGCGCGAGGAGGAGGAGGAGGAGGAGGAGGAGGAGGAGGACTGGGAGGAAGATGGGAGGATGGCCGAGGAGGCAGGAGGAGCGGGAGGATGAGGAGGAGAATGGGAAGATGGGGTAAGGAGGAGGGGAAGGGGAGGAGGGGAAGGAGGAGGAGGAGGAGGAGGAGGAGGAGGAGGACGAGGAGGAGTTGGGAAAATGGTATGATCAGGAGAGGAGGCAGCTCGGAAGATGATGGAAGAGGAGGAGGAGGAGGATGAAGCAAAGAAAATGGAAGATGGGGAGGGAGCATGGCGGAGGGAGGGAATGGGCAGAAGAGCGGGACCGCTATGAGGAGCGGGAAGCGAAGGGAGGGAGCGGGGGGAGAGACGAGCTACGGGCAGGAACTTTGGTTCAGCGTGCCGCTCCGCCGGCTCTGGCCGACCACGCCTCGGCGTGAAGCGCTGTCCACGCCGCGGTCCCCGAGCGCCAAGGTCCCGAGCCTCTGCCTGTTCATCTTGAACAGGATTCGCTGTCCACGCCGCCGCGGCCTGTGTCCATTCGAGACAGAAGGCCGCCTGCCCAAGGGCGGCCGCTGTTGGTTTGGGACACCATTTGTGGTTGGGCATTGTACCCATTTTTCCGCACCCATTTCGGGCGTCCAAAAAGAGGGGGGAGATCGACATTGTCGGCCATGATTCATGAGCTCGCGCTCCTGCGTGATCAGCCGACAGCATTGCTCACCGATGAGGAGGACGAGGAGGCTGTGTCTGAGGAGAAAGGTGCAGGATGGAGGATAAAGGAAGTCGTGCGCAGGGGGATATGGGAGGAACGTGTTGCAAGGCCATGCTCAGATGTACCCAGACAGGAGCCGCTTCGCCTTGGGGGACACACTGGGTCACCTTCCACAAAACAGGCTGCGACCATTTAGCTTGCGACAGGCCTTGCTAGTCTCTGGCGTGCCAGCCTGCGAAACTGTGAATGAATTTGTGCCGAAAACCGATTGTGGGCCTCCCCAGCTTTTATGGTAGCCTGATTCGGCGCGTGTGGGAGGAATGTTAGGCGTATGCGGTCGTCCTTGCGCCTGTCTCCTCGCTCCTCAGAGGAATGCTCGAACAGACCCAGCAAACTTCTTCCCGGATTAGAGCTCGCTTGCTCGGCTTCTCCGGGCAACGCTATCATGTACACCTCGGGCGGGGCCAGGACAGGGACAGACTGTTCCGGAGCGTTCTGGAGCGCCCTCAGAGCCTTCCGAAAACGTTCTGAGACGGCCACGGCGCAAGATACGTCCTCAATAAGTGCTGAATCTCAGAGGTTCACGACGTCCCTGTCCGTTTCTGTCCCTGTCCTGGCTCTTGGCATCGCTCGGACGTGGGCATTTTTCCTTCGGCGAGGACCATCAAGGAGCATCCTTGATCATTTGGCGAAAAAAAAACACGCACGAAACCGACAAAAAACATGGAATGGACGTCCGAGCGATGGCCAGGGCTTCGTCTCTTGTTTTCGGCCAGGGCTCCCCAGGCACGCGCGGTTGCACCCTGCCAGGACTGCTCTCAGATGGGTAGGCAGGCCAACCTTCAGCGACGACTCAAGGCCAAATGCGCTCGTGAAAGTGGCGGTGTGCCTTGCTCTCGGTGTCTTCTCCGCCATCCTCGAACGGTGCGAGGAGGTGGGCATGAGGAGGGCGAGCGGAAGGAGCAGTAGGAGGGTGAGGAGGCCGAGGAGGACAAGGAGAAGGAGAGCGAGGACGAGGAGGATGGCGCGGAGGATACGCAGGAGGTGGAGGAGGACCACAGTAAATTCATGATGCGTAAGCGAAGCTACATACACACACACTCGCTTCCCAAGGCCCCTCCTCAAGCGTCCCCACCTGAATTCCTTTTCGTTGCGGACAGCACCCTCTTGAATTGCGAGAGCCCGATGGACATGCCATTCAGGCGAAAGCCATGCCTTCAAACAGGTACCGCATTCCACCCATCTCGCGCGTTGAAACAACATAGCATTATGAGCGCCAGAGGGTATGTCATTTGACGGAACTGCCTGGCGACAGCCTCATTCTGGAAAGACATTGCCCTCCATTGGCACATGTGTGGCGCAGCGTTAGGAAGCGTCTGGCGTTCACAAAATTGAGGGGGCATCGCGCGAAAGCGTTCAGTCTAGATCGGAGCCGCCCTGCTTTCAGGAAGCTGCTGCACCAGTCAGACGTAGGGCCACACGTGTTCATGAAGTACCAAGTGAGAGCGAGAGCCCACTTGACAGCAAGCTGCAGTTGTTGCGCTGAGTTGGGATAGCTCCTAAGTACAGGAGCTGGTTAGACGCGCTCTAAGCGATTAGGTTGAATAGGATCCGCCCTCGCCCGTGTAACCGCCGGAAGCTTCTCAGACGGATGCGCATTGCGCTGGTCAGAGGCACATCTTGTCAACGATTCGCCCCCGTCGTCGTGATTGCTGGCAGCTCCTAAGACGAACGCGCGCGGCGCAGGAGGCGGCTAGTCGCCGATCTGTCTACCACGCATCACCGATTTCATGCTGATGTCCCTCCCCCATCGGGGGCCGATCTGCGGCCACCGCCCCATACCAGCGTACCAGCTCGCGTGCGCGGGTGGTGTGCAAACATCGCGTCCCCAGGGGATGTCACTGCTGTGCGCAGCCCTTCCCGCGGTCTTGTTCGAGGGAGGACAAACTACCCAGACCCGACAATTGGCGTTTGTTTAACGGCCCTCGGCGTCTGCTGAGCAGCCCTGCCTTGTTCGATTCCTTCTTTCGGGTGCGGGAACGTAACGGCTTCGCTTGTCGGGGTGAAGATTCAGGAGGAGGAGGAGGAGGAGGAAGAGGGAGAGGGAGAGGGAGAGGGAGGAGAAGGAGGGAGAGGAGGAGGAGG